TCATTAGGGGATGTACAAAAAGCAGGAGGGGGAAAGGGTCTTCATTACCATATATGGAGCGAGAAACAAGAAACCAGGAGACACTAAATCATTCTTTAGCTTACGTATCAGAAACTTAAGGTCTTCATGCAGGCCTTTTCTGGGAAATTAGTCCCAATTTAAGAAACGAAACTTAACAGAGGGGATGAGCTCATTGTATGGACAAGGAACAAAGCCTACAGGCATTTCATAGGAAACGAAACTTATGTTAGAGATGAAACCTATAGCAGTGGAAAAGTACCCAGGGATGGTATTTTGCTGATGATTGCAACAGAAACAGGGTTGGAGAAAAAGAAGAGAAAGAAACATACAAGAAAGCAAATTGGAAATGATAGAGATGACACAAAATCAGATAGGATTTATTTTGGGAAACCTGAATTTCTAAATGATGAAAAGCAGAATTTTGGGTGTTGTGAAAAATAAACAAAAATTATCTGTCAATCTTTTTTTTTTATTGAAAATTTTGTAACATTTTACAATATAAATCCCCCCCTCAAAATCCACCCTTCCACCCCCCTCCCTCCCCCCCACTTCCCAGAGCCAATCACAGGAATAATAATAAAATAATCATACTCTAAATAATTTTAAACAACTATAAAAATAACAAATCTATAACCTCCTTTAACTCTATCTGAAAACTATTAAAATAACAAATCTATAACCTCCTTTAACTCTCTTTTCAACAAATATATAATTGATAAACACAATAATAATATCATATTAGTAATTAAAATTAAAAATAAGTAAACAATTATGTCATTTAAACAACAATAATACTCTAGAATTCAGTTGAAATTCAATTAAACACAATAATAATAACATCATATTAAAAAGTAAAAAATAAAACTAAATCATTTAAGCAACAATAATACTCTAAAATTCACTAAAAAAAAAAACAAAGAAAAAAAACCACTCTTTTAACCCCATATCCAGTTATTGAACACACTAATAATAACATCATACTAACAATTGAGAATAATAATAAGTAAACTATTATATCATTTAAACAGCAATAATGATCTAAAATTCATAATCTGCTCTATTATTAACATAATAAATTGCTCCCTAAACAAAATACCTTATACATATTAAAAAAAAACACCACCCTTCCACAGCCTTATTCATTCTTCTTACAATTAAATTAAAAAGCAAAGAAAATTCTTATTTCCAAAATTAATGTCTCAGTTCATACATCCACTTTTTAACTACTCTCTTTCTTGCATCTATAAGCTGCACGGGTCATTCTCTAGATTTTCTGATCCTCTCCAATTTCTCTAACTTGTTGCTTAGTTTCATCTTGGTCTTGTGATTTTGTCGCACTTGATAATAGCATAACTCCTTCAACCACTTCACCTTCATAAATTCCTTCCTTCCTGGTACCTTGTCAGACAAGAAGGCAAAATCCTTTCTTCTTCTAAATACTTTGGGTGGTATTTTCTGCTTATAAAAATCTTGAATGATTCCATTATGAATTGATTTTCTTGAAGAGTAAATAACAACATCTCTTGGAAGGTTTTTCTGTCTTGCAGCCCGTAAATTAATTCTATATTTTTTTTCCATTTCTCTCATGATATCTTCGGGCTGGCAAGTCAAAACCATAGCCAAATCTGCTGCATTCTCTTCCTCCAATTTCTCTCGAGGATTTTCTCTTATTGTAACAACCTCATTTTGAATTAAATCCACTTTTTCCTCCATTTCCAGTTTAAATTCCAAACTTTCAACATGTTCCTCTACTTCCTCCACCCATCCATCAACACATTCTTCATGACATGCCAGACCTTGAAGGACAAACAATATATCTTTTCTCATCTCTACATTTTTCTCTTCAAATTTCTTTTCAAAAAATTTCTTCATATCAATTCTAATCTGTCTTACATTGTCTTTCAATACATTCTGTATCTCTTTCAGTAAAGTTGGGGGGGAAGGCGGAGGAATATCAAGTTTTGGTTGCTGTGATGTTAAAACAGCTGCAGAGGAGATCGTGCTTTTCTGAGAAACAAAAAATCCCACACGTTTACAGGCCATTTTCTTGAAAGAAAAAAAATCTAATAGTCTTATAAAAACCTCAGACAACAATGGGGGAAGAATACTTACCCAAACAATACAAAGTAGCTAGGTCTGTTACAGTAGAATAGTCCAAGAGAAAGTTTCCAAAAAGTGAAAGTCTCATATATTTCCAGAAAACGAAAGTCCATATGTTTCAATCAAAGGAAAAGAAACACCCTTCCGCAGCCATATTCCTTCTTCTTCAAATTAGAATAAATACAAAGAAAATTCCAGAGTTAAAGTCCCATTTCAAACAGCTTTCAAAAACTCCTGTTAGGCTCTGTCTGCATATTAGATTCTACTCACAGTCATTAATTTCCTAAAGCAGCAGAGATTAGATGCGCGTCTGGCTTCATTCTATTGAACGAAGGCAGCCCGAAGCACAGAGAAGTCCCCGACTCTGGGGGAGCTCACCTCAGCCCTCACAGCTGGAAAAATGCGAAGGCTAGGGAGCTCTACCCCTATCGGGGAAGCTCACCCCCTCCCCTTTGCCCGGGGAGGGGGATTCCGAGCCGCGGAACAGCTGTTCCTGCGGCTCTAACGTGTCCTCGGGGCGGGCAGCCTCGGAGAGAAGCTGCCATCGGCGCCGCAATCCAACCGGAAGTCCAAAAATTATCTGTCAATCTTGATCTCCTAAATCCTTTCCTTCTCAGGGTTTCATTCATTTCATTTGCATTTGTTACCCATATTAAATGAAATAAAGTTTCCCATAGGAGAGCAAATTGTGATGTGCAGAGCCTATGCTGAAATTAGTTTAGGTTTGATTTTCTTCTCTTCCCCCAATTTTTGCCTCATCTCAGAAAATAAGCCAGACTTACTCAGCAAAAAAGCCAATTTGTGCCAGGAAGAAAGCTGTAGTGAAGAAGGAGGTCTGTACATCCAGCATCTAGGGCCCTCTGGCTCCCCTAGCATTTTCCTGGGTGATGGCCCATGCAGATTGTTACAACCGCTGCTAAAGGAGGGGAAGACTCTTTTTCTTGTTGCTTGGTGTTGTTGCTGGCAAGGCCCAGTCCTATGGGTAGGAATGGGAGCAAGAAAAGGGAGCAATTTCTCTAAAAGATTTTGGGGACTGGACACTTTTCTTCCCAGATGATCATCTCAATGACTGGGCCAATTTGTTGCTGGTTGAATTGCAGAGCAAGAGAAGTTAACAGAATAACAAATTTGGAAGGGACCTTGAAGGTCTTCTATTCCAACCCCCTGCTCAGGCAGGAAACCCTATTCAGATAGTCCTCGACTTACAACAGTTCATTTAGTGACCGTTCAAAGTTACAGCAGCACTGAAAAAAAGTGACATGACCATTTTTCATAGTTATAATCTTTCCAGTATCTCCATGATCATGTGATCAAAATTCAGATGCTTGGCAACTGGTTCATATTTATGACTGTTGCTGTGTCCAAAGATCATGTGATCATCTTTTGCAACCTTCTGACAAGCAAACTCAATTAGGAAGCCAAATTCACTTAACAACCAGGTTACTTAACTTATCAACTGCACTAATTCACTTAACATCTGTGGCAAGAAAGATCATAAAATGGGGCAAAATTTACTTAACAAATGTCTCACTTAACAACAGAAAGTTTGGGCTCAATTGTGGTTGTAGGTTGAAGTCTACCTGTACCATTCCAGACAAATAGCTGTCCATTCTCTTCTTAAAAACCTCCAGTGTTCAATCACCCACAACTTCTGGGGGCAAGTTGTTCCACTGATTAATTGTTCTCACTGACAGGCAATTTCTCTTTAGTTCTAGGTTGCTTCTATCCTTGATTAGTTTTCATCCATTACTTCTTGTCCTGCCCTCAGATGCTTTGGAGGATAGACTGTAACCCTCTTTTCTGTGATAGCCCATTAGATATTGGAAGACTGCTATCATGTCACCTCTTCTTGGAGAAGGCCCCAAGGATCTCGGAGAGACTTTGTCTTCTCCCAGTTGAAATCTGGGTTCTCTGGTACTTTATCATCCTTTCCTTGCACCTTTAAAGTAAGTGGAAATAGCACTGGCGCTCCACCCAGAGCAGTTCTTGTACTTGTTCTTCTATGCCAAGGACCTCCACAGCACAAGAGCAGAATTTTGCTGCTCTTGGATTAGGTCCTGTGGGGGGAGGGAGGGTGGGGGGAATGGAGGGAGGGGGCATTTGGTTAGGTGGGAAACAAGGATGGTGAAGGCAACCATACATTGAGGAAGACCTTTATAAACCTGGCCTGGACAGTAGAAGTGGGAATTTTCTGATCTGATTAAAATCCAAACAACAAAAAGGTTATACTGTCAGTTCATATTTATTTGCAACAAAATGAACCTGCAATCCATCTTTGAAACCCTAAAACTGGGAAACTTCCTATTAATCACAATTTATAAACATAATTCTCTGCTTAGCAGGAAAATCAGAAGTTTGAGAGCAAAGCAATGCAAGAAATGGTTGAATCTTGAAGTGTCCAAAAATGTTTTTTTTTCTGTTCCTTCTTTGCAGTTGTGTGTAATATTGGAACCAATGCAAGAACTTATGTCAAGACATAAAACGTATAATTTAAGTCCTCGGGACTGCTTGAAAACATGTTTGTTTCAAAAATGGCAGCGGATGGTGGCACCTCCAGGTAGGAATTCTCTCTAGTCTCTGATTCTAAGTGGGTGAAAGAGTAAGAATTTAAGAACATGGAATACTGTACTATTGAAAGTCCTGTGACTATCCTGCAGATATTCACTCTAATTATTGTTTCAGTAGCATTATTGGATTCCTGAATGTTAGCATTTCTGTGAGAGGGGGATGGAGAAAGAGGGTATATGACTTCATGCAGGTGATGATCGTCATTATACAAATGGTGTGCATTATATAATAGTGGCGTAAAATATGTTCTGCACCTGGAGCTACTTCTCCAACCAACTTCTTAGTCGCATGCAGGACTTCTGGACTGTGTACAGATGTAATCCTACACCATCAAAAAGAGGTATGGAAATCCAATTGCTCTTGACATTAGCATGCTAGCCATTGTGGAGGTTGCCCAAAATGCACAATTCCTAAAATATGTGGGAGACATTCCCAAGATGTTTTGCAGTATGCAGAGTTAAGAACATCTGGGATAAAAATTGTTGAGGCTGAAACTTTTAGATTGTGCCTCAAGTTAAACTTAATCAACACTGGCTTTACCATGAGGAAGGATGAGAAGTAGTTCAGGTGGGCCTTTTAGCCTTTCATCCACCATGTGGCACCAGATGTAGTTAATCTTCATGTCTCCCCCCCCCCAAAAAAGAGAATAAATTCCTACTCAGCCCAATGGCTGTGGCCTGATGTTTGGCATGTCTGTTGTTCGTCCATCGATTTCGATGAAGACCTTGACATCTTGTGGATTGTGGGTCATCAACGGTGTGTCCGTAGATGGCTGATTAGACCGATGTTAGCACGGAATGTTCTGCCACATACTGAACAGAGAAGTGTGGACACTGTTGCTTCAGCATTTGCAGCTCTGGCTTTACGGAGTGCTCGCTTCTCTTGTGCCAAGATTGTCCTCCTGTGTTCATATGTCTGGCACCCCTGGTAAACCAGGGTACGCCACG